GTTGGTCAATGTTAGACAGCAAAATCTCTTAATAGATAGTGGGTTTTTTGAAACCAGACAAAAGATATGGTGAATCATGCCCAAAATTAAATTGCAATGATATGATATTAGCTGTTGTTCTGATAAAGTAAGCTTCTACCGTCAAATGGCCTAACATCCGTCAAAACGGCTTGTTTCTAACCTTTGAAAGTTAGGGGTCCCCTCCCATGAGCGCCTCTTAATCGATATTGCTCAGCTAAGATTTCAAATTTTGCCTATCAACAAATTGTTCACCGACGTTACTTACAGTTGTTTCAGTTTTGTTCACTAATAGATTTTTCGGTTTAAGATTTCATAGTCAACGCATAAATCTACCTCAAAATATATTTTTTTCAATTTTTTGTCAGTCGTAAGTTAAATAATTTATATGAGTAACTGAATAACATTTAATCAAACTCAGTGTTATCTTTATTCCATTCTAGCTCCTGTCAAACCCTCAGGTAATATGCTTTATAAATGGTCCCGGCTTTTAAATTGCGTATCAGCTTTAGAATCTATGATACCGATGTAGAAAATAAAGCTCATTGCCTGGAAGGAATCATCGTGCAACAGAGTTCCTTAACAAAACGAAACGATGACTGAAGCTATCTTTTATGATTAAATGTAATGTATACTTTGCGGTCGCTAAGTCCAAAATTAAAATCATGATTGTGACGACGAAATGTGTAATTAATCAATCAGGGAGTTGAAATCACTCAGTTAAATTTAATAGTAAAGCAAAATACCCATGTCAGCACAAATCCAACTCTAAAAACTTTGCATTTAAGTAACCTTTCAATTCCTTAGAAAAAAAAACCGGGACACCGGAAATTTTTTGACTTAATTTACCACACTTCAAATATTCGCTACTCGGTTTAAGGCTCAAATTGCAACTTTGACAACGGACTCTGCACTGGATGGACCCAATCAATATCAGATCAATTTGATTGGAGGGTTTATAGTGGCTCAACTCCATCGCGAGGGACAGGACCTTCTGCGGATCATTCTGGTTCAGGTATGTCCCGCGGATCTATTGATGATTAATTTCTATGCTTCTAAGTTTATTCTTGCTGTTTATACTTTTGGAGATAGCTCAGGAGGAGTAAGGAGCTACCGTAAACTAGATCTTAAGTGAGTAACTTTAATGAGAAGGTGGCATCTTTCAATCTCGCGGACAGAATGAAAGATAACGTTATTCGCTTCATCTCAAGCTCAAAATTCTCCCATCTTCCCTTTTCTGTCTAGATTTAAATAGGTTTTATCGAGAGAAAATATGAAGCCTTAGCTTTTGAGAACATCTGACCGATTACTGGTTTTTTTTTTTCGGCTTTTAAGGGAAGTACATTTATATCGAGACATCTCACCCACGAAAAGCCAATGAAAAAGCAATAATCAATTTTAGTGGATATTCCGGTGGCTCAGCCTGTCTTGCTTTCTATTATCATATGTACGGTGATAATGTCAATCAACTGAACGTGTACCTCGGAAGTTCAAAGGTTTTCGCCAAGGCTGGTAACCAGGGAAATGAATGGAAGAAAGCTCAAGTGTCGATAAATGGAGGAGGAAACGTAAGTTTGCGCTAACTAGTTCCAGTTTACATCAAGAGAAAGCAATGATTTCTTATGGTTACATAAGAGACACCAGCCATTGCGCATGACTTGGGTTGATGGATCATACTGAGCGAGCAGGTTATGAAAGTAAATAGAAACATTATATCAGTTCAGGACAGGATTCTTTTAATTTTTCCTCATTTTGCGCATGTGTTTGATTTATCCCGGCCACAGTGCGTTGAGTATTCAATAAAAAAGAAAAACAGTGCAGTTTGGCGTAACAAATTTTCTAAGGAAAAATGAAAAAATGGATTTCTTTGAAACTCTTCAGATCGTTTTCGAAGGAATCCGTGGAAGTGGCTGGCAAGGAGACATTGCCATTGATGATTTCTCCTTAACCGTGGGGTCATGTGAAGAAGGAATCCCAGACCCACCCGGTCCAACCACACCACCTCCTCCTGGTAAGTTCATTAGTTGGATCTCCGGGCCTCCTTGTGACGAGCGAGGATTATTTGAGAAAACAGAGGCTCAAGATAGTTACTTATGTTTTACACGCATCATTTCGTTAAGGACAAAGCTAACACATATATCTTCTAGGGAAAACACGGTTTCTGTTATCTCAATCATCGCATCTAACTTCGAACACACTGAACACATTCCTTTCTAAATCCGGCTGGGAAGTTGAGATCTTTTTCATCTTGGTCCTCCTCGGAAGCAACTGTCGGGGCTTGTCAAACTTTTCAGATTAGTATTGCTGTGTAGCATGGGTCTCCCAAGGTAAATGTTAACTTTTACGTTTGTCAAAACACGGTCTCCTAGGAAAAATAAAACCTGTTGATGAATTGATGAATAATGACAAACAATTATTATTGATAGGTAACTGCGGATCAAAGCCAAGTGTTCGTATTGTCGGGGGGACAGTAGCTGCACAAAACAGTTGGCCTTGGCAGGCAATGTTGCGGACTACGTCTGGATTTCCATTCTGTGGTGGCTCATTAATAGCACCTCAATGGGTAGCCTCCGCTGCTCACTGTGTTCGAGGGAAGTCGCCTAGTAGCCTAATGATAAGGTGAAAACAAAAAGGACTTGGCATTTTAACATGAAACATCTTTCTTTATAGCTAATTATAAATTATTGTTATCTGATATTAGAACTCATGATCAATTTAAAGGCAAACACCTCTAATTTCAGTTTTCAAGTCTCAAAATGAAATGATTTCACTCTCCAGGCTTCTTACTGCAATTATTACATAGATCACAATATATTCAGCAATCATTCTCAATATTATCCAGATACTGTACAATATGAAAATTGTCTTGTGGAATACAATATCAAGCACGTTTTAGCCCTGCTACAAGAAATTGAAAACCGAAAGGAGTTCAAACAGATCTCCACATATCTTTTTGTTTGATCTGTTTTGGTTTCTCTTACCAGATTGGGTGCTCACAGAAGAATCGGTAGGGTCGGAACGGAGCAAGACTTCAAGGTTGTCAAAATTATCTCCCATGCAAGCTATCATAACCCCGTAAGATATAGTTACGATATTGCGTTGATAAAACTCGAGAAACCAGCCAACTTGAACAAAGCAGTTGGACTAGTTTGTGTTCCAGATGGCAACAGTCCAGCGATGCCAATCGACAATTTGAGCAAGAAGTGTTGGATAACAGGGTGGGGAAGGTTAGCTTCTGGAGGAGCTACTCCTGAAAAATTGATGCAAGCATCGGTGCCTCTTGTCTCAAAATCGAGGTATGTATCCTTTGATATGATTAGCGTGTCCAACGGAAAAACTCGGATCGAAATTTTACTCCTGAGAACAGATAGTGGCAGAGTGAACCGAGCCGGAGGTCCCCCTATCGAGTCGTCAAGGTCAACGGCTTGTCTAAATTCCAATTGAGTTGCAATCCGTCTGATAGGAAATTTCATCTTGCTATGTTTGAAGTGTATTTGGATTGTGAAATAGCTAGGTAAGCTAGGCAATTGTGAGGTTTATATGTTAACCTTTATAGAGCTGAAACAAGTTACCATCTGTCTTAATCTGTTTATACACATGACGCTCTCGAAATTGCTGATCGTAGCAGTATGCAAGACGGGTATTACATTAGATTATGAGCATTGTAATTGCCCAGTTCGCGGTAGAGCTTTTGTGGCTCAAAGGTAGAGCATCAAAGTACAGTCTGTGGGCCTGAGGTTCGATTCCTCACTGGGACTCAGAATGTTTACTTCGTTCTACAAATGATTAAAAAAAGACAACTTCACCCACACATAAACTTGAGCTTATATCAGGATTTCATCACAATTAAAGAACTGTAAAATATTCGCTATTTTGCGTGATACGATTTTGTTTTATATTTCTAGGTGTCTTAAGGGTTACCCGAACATGATCCACGACTCCATGCTGTGTGCAGGACTTGATAAGGGTGGAGTCGATGCTTGCCAGGGCGATAGTGGCGGTCCGCTGGTCTGTCAATACAATGGCAGATGGTTCTTGGAAGGAGCTACTAGCTGGGGTCATGGATGCGCTGGCCCTATGAAGTACGGTGTGTACGCAAAAGTACGTTACGTCAAGAGCTGGATCGATCAGATCATGAAGAGCAACTGAATCAAGTGCTATTTGTACCAGCTCTGAAGTGATGTCTAATCAAATAAAATTTAATGATTGACCCTGCATTTAGTTTTACAAATTACTCTCTATGATCAGTTCTTTAACGTCTTTAATCTTAAAGAGGGAAAAACTCATTTCCATAAACATGCTCACCCACCTACGCGCTTTCCCTTTAAGGTTTGACATTAGTTTCTCTTGTAAAACCCTTTTTTAAAAGAATTGTTTTCATAGTGATCTCCTTGCGTACTTAAAAGGGAAGTTATCATCCAGATATTTCTGGAGTATAAATCTATCTATTTTTGGATATAAACATTTGTTTTGCTTTCTTTTTCCTATTTCTCTGATGAAACATGCATCGCCATAAATTTTTTTAAAGAGGGTCTAAGCCGTTTAACGTTTGGATTACAAGTAGAAGTCCTGGTAATGAATTCGATATGAAGAGTTACTTGAAACGTGATTAATTGAACACTGTAATGAAAAAAGTAACCTGAGTTTACTGACGTGGTAACCAAGTAACCAATTAGTGACACCATTTGAAATTTTAAGTCCTAAAGACCTTTATGCATAATATGAAGCCATTTACCATATCAGGCTCAAACTTTGTCCACACAACAATAAAATGATTATTTTCGTGACATTATTGGTTGGTGAAAATCAAATTCAACCGGGGATTGACTGCTTAAGTGGCGCCCACTCGTCTAAGAAGGACTAAACAGCTTGTAATTGAACATGTGTCGGTGTCAGCTGTCAGTTTCCAGAACCATCAGATTACGAATTAGAAAAGACGAAATCAGACATAAATTTCATTTCTTTATTCAAGTTGGGTGAAGGGCAGTCAGTTTTGCGATTTTGTGGCTTAAGATCAGTAACAAAGGAGGAGCCTCCATCCAAGTAAGTCAAGATCAACAGCGTACAAAATCTTTCATTTAAAGCTACAACGCTTGAAATGATTAGGTACTTTTTGTCTTCCTTTTTTTTTCGGCTTTCATACGCCAGCTTCAAGCAGGTAAAAACGAAGCAAAGTTTTATTCAGTCAATGCTACAACTGTTTATTTCCAAAATCACTAAGTTTACTCGGACCGAAAACTATTTAAATAAATATTCTCACTGTAACTGGAGATCATAAGAAAAGGGAAGTCCTCGATTTCACGATAGTTTTTCGTCTATCAACCTTTCTGCTGAAATCAACTGAATAAGGACATGCCAACTTGACGAAATAGTCAACAAGAAGAATGTATCTGGCAGTAACATGCGGCTCCTTATAAAAATGTAATAAACAACATAAAAGTTGACACATAACTTATGGAATAATTTTTTTTTGTTTTTTTTTCTTTTAGCCTCAAATCTTGTAAAATGGTTAGGTATGATAAAATTGTCTAGATCTCGAAATAATTTGCCATTCAAAATCGTTTTTAAAACCAGCCGCTTATCGACGGTTTACCGCCGTTTGGTAAGATGTACTCCATAAGATTTGTCGGACTTGCACAGTCTATAAAATTCGCCATTACAGCATATGCGATCTTCATGGTCACGTACTGAGCAAAAAAAAAACAAAAAAAACAAAAAGGTTTCCAGGCTTCAGCTCAACAGAACTGAGGTAGCGGATCGTTCAAATTGTCTATTTATTTGAAATATGGATGAATATTTCATCATGATGCAACATAGCCCTGAAAGCAGTGATGTTCATCGAAGGGGCAGATCTTCAAAAGCATCAGATCCTCAGCAAAAATTTAATTGCTTCTGCTGTGAAAAAAGTACCTGCATTGTCTATGTTTTTAAACGAACCTACGTGTCGCAGTATGGTACGTTTATCTTTCTTTGTTTCAATGTTTGAGGTTTCACAAGAATCAAAAATTAACATGCAAATCAAATCCAAGTGGCATATTCTGCCATATGTCGGCATATAATAACCACAGATTAAACGCATAACTCTTGGAATAGGTAGTTTATCTTTCCCACACGAGTAAATACGCCTTTTACCTTCGATAGAATCGCTCAATTATTCGGAGCACGCATCGTTCACTTACAAAAGATGAATTGGTGTAATAAGCTGTATAACGGAGAAGCAAGTCACCGAATCGCGCTCTGTACGCCTCGACAAAGACATTTTTTGGTAAAATTCTTCTTAGAGCTGGTATCCTTGTCAAGCTATCAGCCATTTTCAATTTTTTAACCTCGAAAAGTGGTTTTTAACCCTTTAATGTTAAAAAGAGGTGGCACACAGTTGGACTTTGAGAAACGGACTTCACGAGAAAAGTTTGTAATTTTGCAATCCGCCTCAATCTCCGTTTCCCCGGGTCTTATCATTTATTCTTTGCTCTCTTTTTGTTTACACTTTTTTCTCTCTCGTGCATTTTTCTTTCTTAAGTAGCTTACTACTCAGCCTTTTTTGAACACTTCAATGAACTTTCATTTTTTCAGCTGACCGAAAATATATTTGGTATTTTTGACATAGACATACCTGCGCGTGGTAATTAATTAATTGGACTTTCATAAGTATGAGCTTGGAGTAGCCTTACATTAATACAAAGAGATCGTAAAGCGTACATTCTATCCGCAATTTCCGCTAAGCCTCAATTATTTTTCATCTTACGAAACACACAGTGCAATATTCCTTGGTTAACCTCCCAGTGGAAGAGAGCTTCTGGAGAAAGCGAAATACCACTGCGAGCAAATGGAGTCTTTTTAAGTTCGAAGTCAAGTACGGTTTCATTGTTTATCTATAGAGATGATGCCAGGTGAAACAGGAAACCAAAAAAAAAAAAAAAAGGACGTGACGCTCGTGTAGACCTTATTTCTGCACTAAGAATGTCATTCTAAATAAAAAAAAAAGTCTCAATAAAACTAGCCAAGTCTGATTTGGTCAACGGTTAAAAGGGTTTGCAAACATCTCAGCACACTTAGTGCGGTGAAACGTTAATAGGCGAGTATAATGAAAGAACGCAGAAAAAAAACAAAAAACAAAACAAAAAAACGAAAGGGTCGAATTACGGTGGAAAAGAGGAACGAAGAGGAAGATCAGAGTTTCTGTATATCGTTCTTTTTCCTTGTTTATCAGTTATAGATATCGAAAGACGTCCAGCCAAAGTTTCGCAAATGCGGCTGCTTCCATCGGTTATATGACCCCTTATTTAGTACCTTAAAGCACCGACGGAAAGTGTGGAACATTCACGACACTAAATTTTCTCTCGGCTTTGCCGGAGGCTACCGTCTTGCGTATTATTTGTGCTCCAATCTCCCACAATAAATCATTAATCAATCTACCATAAATCGGTTATTGGGTTGCAAGACTGGCAGGTGGTTTAATACATCCCCGATTCCATTTGGGGAGAAACCCAATTGTCAAGAACTCAAGCAGTTGTATAGTTAACCTGTTGCAAGCCTCAAAAATCAGCATCAACTATAGCTAGACTGCTCAACCATTTTTTATTTTTGTGATATAGAAATGTGCCCCATCGAAATTGACCCTTGTTGTTTTTGTCAACAATTTTGCTGCTCTTTGAAGGTAAAAGCGTACTATAAAGCGATCCTGGCGTTGAGTTACAGGCCATCAGGAGTAGGAATTGACTATTGCTGCTATTGTTTTGTACTTTTCTAACGGTGATTAACTGATAACCAATCGAATGCACTGTGAGTTTTCTGCACGGATAGTAGTCTCCAGTCTTCTCTTAGTATGCTATCTTCCTGTTTTTTTCGTTCCCAATTGACAGCCCTCCCATGGGAAATATAACACCCTTTTGAGCACTTTAAAACAAACATGTCATTAAAGGATGGCGTTAATAGGGCTGAAGGTAAATTGGAAACTTTTGAGAAACAATTTACGAGAAAGGCAGCAAATTAAACTTAATGGCGATAGTACAGGTGTCTCTTCAGAGAATTTCAGAGAAAACGTAATTCAAGTAAGATCGGTATCAAAGGCTGAAGAGACTCAACGAAACCATATACAAAAAAGCACAATGAAAGGAAAATAACCCGCCGCGCGTAAGTGCACTCTTTTATTTGTCAAGTCATCCTTATTAAATTCTTAAAGGTAAATTGGGTGGTTCCGTGTAAGAAATGCAAATATTTGTATCACCTGGGGGCGATTCAACATAGATTTCAAAACCATGACATATAACACCAGTTTTTCCACTCGTTTACTCATTTCAAATCTTTGATCTGAAGTTCTGACTTACTTAAATCTGAGGTCATTGAAACTGAGTCGATTTTTCAAATAACAAACTTTACTTGACATAATCCTTTGCTGTCTAAGGTAACGTTTAAATCTTCTTCATCTTATTCATTTTGCATAAAGAAAAAACTCAGAGGGATTCAAATATCTTTTTTTGATCCGATCGCCGGTGAGATGAAGCCGAATTGGTGCCTCCATTTGGAATAAGGTAAGCATAATTTTTACTTCAGTTCAAAGCATTTGTTGTTCTAAAGTTTATTGCCAGCACAGCTGTTGTTAAATTCTGTTGTTTAATTTCAAGGAAACTCGACGACGAATTAATTGTCTATCTTGAACACTGAAGCCTAAATTTTTAAGAAATGCAATTTTCAAGTCATGCAAATGATCAATATCCTTTGTTAAGTTTTGTGGTAAATACATTCTCCTTCACGACCATTGTTAACTTTTATAATTTAAACCGCGTTTCATTCTTTTTAAACACGATCCTTTTTTAAGTCATAAGAGTCGACTACTGATGTGCGACTCAGCCAAGAACTATTGGCCGAATTTAGATTATTTCTGCTTTTGTTCGTTCAAATAGTAAGCTAATTCCTTCAGGTAGTTACAAAAAGAAGAAATGAGAGATTCTGTGAATATAGCGTGTTATCGCTCAACTCTCCGCTCCGAAGTCCAGCTGAATTTTTAAAAAGTACGAAGTCACGAAAGAATTTTACGAGCAAAATACTTCCTCAACAGGAACATTTGGAAATAATTTTTCTTCATGCAGCAATATTTGACGTTTAAGATAGCTTTTTGCATGAAATAGAAGTGAAGCTAAAATAGGCTTCATGCACGAAAAGGAATTTCCAAGGAAATTATTATTCATTTAAGCTGTGTTCAGTTGTAGCTGTCGTAACAACGGAATTAGGACGCGGCTAACAAATTATGAAATGAAAGAAAACTTGCTCCTTTCTTAAAAAAAAAAAAAACTGTGTTAAATGCATAGCATAAAACGAAAAAAAACGCAAAAACAAAAGCAAAACAAACAAACAAAAAAAAACAAATGAAGAGACCACCACCCCTCCGCCCTCCGCCCTCCGCCCTCCTTATATCATTACTGTCATCAGCGGCGCTCCCTGCTGTTAGTTTGAGACTATTAGGAGCTATTGGAAAAACAAATTTCGTCATGGGTGTAGATTCACTCTTCGTAGTGATCTACAGTCGGAGTTAAAGCAGTTGAATTTTCAGAATATCATGTTTTCCAGAAATTTCCATGATTCTGAAATTCACAGTTTAAAATGAAAGATGACACAGAATGATTTATGCCACTGTACTTCACCGGAAAAAAATACGTTTTTCACAATATAACCTATTTAGCTGGTAGAAACAAAAAAAATATTAAACAACACTTATTTGATCCTGTTAATAACAAAAAGTTTCGATGACTATCAGTGTCGCCTTCACAGGCCTGGTGAGTTCCGTTTGAAAACCTGCGAATCATAAATAGACAGTCCATGACGGTCCGACATAACAGATAATTACAATGAATATCAATCGAACTTTTCTTTTCTTAAGAAAAAAACATGGTTCATAATTTTTTTCCTGTTTAAAATGGACGCACGAAAACTCACATATATCAAACTTTCCAACGAACACGGAGAAACGTTCACGGGTTCAGTGAGAGGATTTTTTGTGCAGCATTTTGCGAAAGATAGGAAATTCTTTTTGGGTTAGACAGTACTTTTTCTGTTCTACTTTTTATGCTATTCCCTCAGATATATCTCTACCGGAATTGAGAATTTTCAAAGAAAGGCTCAGGAAATAGTTTCCGCCTTTATTCTTTAAGCGAGGAAAAGATGAACTTTTCACCCCTGGAATCTAATCTATTTAAAAAAGTAGACGTGAGTTGCTTCACAAAACCGGACATTTATTTTCCGGAAAGAAAGGCCATTGTCTGTTCATGGCTCTCTTTTTTCAATTTTGACCCTTGTAATCAACAACAAGGCTATTCGTATGTGAGCTCCTTCGAAATGACGTTTGGCTTTGCTTCTCCCTCGATTCCTAAAACGCATCTAACCGTTCCACAAGGCCTCGAGATAAGAGATAACAATATGAAATCAAGTTCAAAGAGTCTGTAAATTATAAAGCTGAAACGATTTTTTTGTTTCAATCTCGCTTCTGAGTCTCATCTCATTTCGATTTCCTTCCTTCTATAACAGACAAAAATATTACATTCAGATTCACTATGGTAACAGACGAGGCCAAAGTGATTTTGACCGTGATCTACGTGGTAACAATGGTCGTTGCCTTTGCTGGCAACACGCTTCTGATCTACTTTGTGTGGAAGAAACCGGAAGTGCGATCAATGACCAGCTCCATGTTCGTCAACATGGCGGTGGCTGATTTGTTAATTACGCTAATTGTAATGCCTTTCTCCGTTATTCACCTACACAATGGCGGCAAATGGCTTATAGTTCATGATCTGGCTGGGGAAATAACATGTAGAGGCTTTTACTTTGTTGCAATGGTCACTGCGGTTTCTTCGATACTGTGCCTGGCGTTCATGGCTTACGACAGATACACGGCGATTCTTCACCCTTTCCGCCCCCTTCAATGTATTCGTAAGGCAAAGTACGCTGCGCCTATCATCTGGATTCTCTCAATGCTATTAATGTCTATAATTCTTGTTATTTCGGATTTTGATCCGTTGCAGGACTTTTGCGGTTTCAACTTTGACATCTTGGGAAAAGAGAGCACCACAGTTCTTGGCGGAATTTTCATTTACTTGTTTGTAGTCCAATATTTTTTGCCACTAAGTGTCACATCCATCCTGTACGCTAAAACCGCTCACAAATTGTGGTTTCGTCAAGTTCCCGGGAATTATTTGTCACAAAATCAGAGGCAACAGGAAATCGCCAAGAGAAAAGTGGTCAGAATGCTTGTCATCGTTGTCGCTGTATTTGCTGTGTGTTGGCTACCCACGCAATTCTTTCAGCTGTATCATGTGATCAAAGAAACGCAGCCACTGCCTCCCTTTGCTATGTACCTCTGCTACTGGTTGGGTCATGGCAATAGTGCCATAAACCCATGGTTGTACATCTCCTTGAGCTCAAGGCTCCGCCTGGCGTTTATCCGAATGGTAAAAAAGAAATTCAGTCGGCCAGCCGGAAGAGTGCGTTTGAAGAAGACAGTGGCGACAACTAATCTCCTAACACATGGAACACATGTGGAGTCTTCTGTATAACATGGAAAAATTGAAACAAGACTGACTACTGCAAATACAAATCTGATAAAGAGGTATAAGAAATTCAGCAAATTTTGGGTGATTAATTTGATAGCTTTAAATCCATTCATTGCTTTGTCTTCATTTATTACCCTATTGCAAGTGGCGTACCAATTTCATAATGATGATTCAGTGATAAAAATTTCTAAACGTATCAGCTAACGGACGTCATCTCTGGTAATAAAATACAATCTTTACTAACTAACGAGGAAAATGCTCAGCAGCCAGCAAGGAGTTCTGCAAATTTATTCACAGAATTGAAGTCTTCAACACGCAGCCAGTAGAATCAACAATTTTCTTCATTTGCCTGGCATAATTATTTTTTGCAGTAAGGGTCCACACCATTTAGCTGTTTCAAACTCATCGGAGAAACTTAGCGTAAATAAATTGAGATTAAAGTATAAATTGAAGTAGGGAACGGTCTCACGTGATATTTCGGTCAAGTGAATGGGAATAAAAACTATATACGTGCTCAGAGATAAATGTGGGAAGTAATATCTCTTATTCTCACTATGTAGGAATTTTGTTTTTGAGGTCACAACCTTACGGGACGATGAGTTGAGGATTTCCGAGTAACTGCACGTTGTAACATCATCCAGTGTGGTAAAAAGTAACTTTCACCTCAAACATGAGAGTAGTTTGGTTTTGTAGTCTCGTTTGGGATGGGCTTGTACATACAAATCGCAAATAATTTCTAGGTTTTATGTTAGCTCATGACAGTAAACACCTTCCCACCAAAGGTTAAGTTAAACTAAAACTGTTATAAGGGTGCATGATACTGGAGCTATTTTATCAGTGGGCGGGTCCTGCAACGGTGTCCTACTGGCCGTTGAAGACATGTCATGTTGTTCTATTATCTCGATAACATATAGTTTTTTTTTAATAAGGTAATTGGAGGGGAAGGTGTTATAACAGCGACTTATCAGCGGTTAGGGCCAAACCAAGCTGTTCTGTTATTATACAATATGACTTTTTCTTGGCAAAGAGAGGGGTCGGTTAGAGCCAAGTTCACTTCTCCTTTTTCAAGTTATGCTCTTGGTTCTATTTAAAAGAGACAACTGACGCCAGTGGCCAGCCCGAGAACTGGGAAAAAGGATTGAGAGATCGAAACGTACATTCTTATCCATTATTAAACTTTTCATCACATTGTACAAATTATTTTAAAAGAAGTTAAGATACATGGCCTTGACATTTTTCACAATCTAAATTTTGTCAATGAAAAAAAAAACGCCTTCTATATAATCTTATCGTCATTATTAATTGATTTAACAACCCGAACTTACTGGGTTACTCCACGAACATTTTTCTCCTTTCCAACCATCAAAAAACTTTATCACCGTCTTGACTGAACTTCCTTACCTCTCTTAATTTCTGCAGCAATTTTTTTAAAGAGATAAATATATCTTATTACACGTTTTGGTGTGTAGTATCGCTGAGTATTTTTCCGAGTTTACAAACAACGATTGAAAATACCCAGCGATACCATACACTAAAATGTCTGATAAGTTATTTATTATCCAACGGTCTTTCTGTTCAATTTTCAAAGGGCGGGAAAAGAAAAGGGGATAGTAGAGCGTAGCGCGCAGCCGACTGGTTAAACAAGTTTTTTTACTACTCAAAATAACCAACTGTCCAAATAACCGTACAATATCGCAGGATATTTGTAGTCTATTCGCCTGTTATTTGTACTCTACTTTGTGCAGTTGGATAATGATAGCTATTAGCCTTGTCTTCTTAAAAAGACTTCCATTCATACGTACTGAATGCAAATCAATATTTTCACGCGTAAGCCTCGTATATTCGTATTATTAATTGCCAATCTTGTGACTTCCTTTTTATATTTGTTGTCAAAACATTTAGTTGCGGTATAATTTTTAGTTTTACTTTAATGAAGGGGTGAGTAAAGATTATAAAAATTAATGTGTAAAAAAAACTACAGTTCCACCAATGACATTAAAGAAGTTAAAACGTCTCTCTCTCTCTCCCTCCTTCAGTTTTTTGCCCAAAAAAGTAATTAATTATGTCAGGAAGTTGAACTAAATTATCACCGTTTCAGTCCATGAAATGCTGAAATATGCACGCATTTTGATTGGTCTGGGGTCACGATCTTTTGGAGGCAGACGCATTGATGACCCACCATTGTTTTCTTTTATTTATTATCAAATCAAACAAGCATGTTGTCGTTGGTCTGTACAGTAACAGATCACAGAGTAAGTCAAAATGTGGTGGGACCATCGGTGAAAAACCTCGGTGCTCAGCTGTCTGTTTCTTCAGTGTATCGCGGAAAACTTACTAGCGATGTTATTATCCAAACTGGAGTAAACCAGTGCGAAATATAAGTCTCGCTCTTTGTCAAAATGCCCCCAAAATTTCCCTTTGTTTTTCATTAAACTATTATGAAAGATTTGAATAACAAACAGCAAAAGCTTATATCTATCTTCGCTTTCTCCTACAGGTCATCCAAATTTTCCACATTTTGACACTTAGTCGCCTATAGAACGAAATAAACGCCCCCAAGCTCTCCTGAATCTGGATATCCTTTGGTGGCATAGGAAAGTGTGACAAGCGATTGTTTTTAATTATTGCGAATAATAGGAATAATATAACCAGAATTTACACTCCAAACTTGAAATTTATACTTTGACGGCGTCGAAAGACAACGTGGTGTCGAAATTTCGCTCAGAAGGAGAAGAACAACAACAAAAGAGAACTGGGCGTTGAAGCGTCTTTCCTTTAACACGTGCAATCCCAGTGCATTATTGCATAGGGAACAGAGATTATATACGAACAAAAGCATTCATGAAAAGCAAACCGTTAATGAAGATCTGTGGGCCAGGCGCTCAGCATACTCGACTACAAGTAGATATAGATACGATGTATTTGTCCGATAGGTTCACTTTTACTTTACTTGCCTGTCATGAATTAATGGTACTGCAAAGGTCTTTTCAAAACCTTTAAAATGAAATAAAAAGCACAATTATGTTTGCAAAAGCGACATACTAATTCAATTGATCAGCGCTACCTGAAACATGAAGGAATATCGACCGGACTTTGTCGATAAATTGAAGTTTTATAGCCAACAACATCTTGGATGATTATCGTCAGTGCTTAAGACGCGGCTATGGAGTTGGCTCGCAATTACTTCGTAACATGCAGCCGGCTGATTCCTCCTTATTTATTCCAGTTTTGCAAAGTCTCTTTTCTTAACTCCTGTAATATTATTTACTACCCAGTCCAGGCATCCTTCACTTTCCTGCTCCCACAACACCAACAACTTTTCGATTTTTGTTTTAATTACATTAATCGTTTACACTGTGTATATACAGTTCTGTGTGTTTATCTTAAATGTAGCGCTCATAACGCAAATCAGTTATAGGAAACTTTCGCTATCTTACATTTACCAAATTTGTAGTAAATGTTTCATGTTATGAAAGAGATTACAGCCTTGATTCTTTCCGGACAGCTTCCTGCTCAGGTGATAAAAAGGCATTTTCATTTTCAGTTTCTGTTTTGTCTGTGGCTAAACTTAATATGATAAGACTGTTATTACTGAGTAAATAATCAGTAAAGGGAACAACCGTGGCCCCTAAAATCTTTTGACGGAGTGCTTGTATTTGGACAGGCAACAGGTGAAGCTTGTTAACCAATCAAATTCCAGCAGGACAAACCCTATTCAATGTTAAGTATCAGCCGGGAACATAAAGAGGCTCAAATTAAGGCAGAATCTGCACTTCTTCCAACTGATAACTGACTGACGATAGAAAAAGAAACACTCCGTTCCTTTCATCAGTTCCCAACTGCGAACTCTCAGTTGGGAACTGACAGATCGGAAAAGCTACATTAGACACCCACTTTAATCCGCTGTGACAACAAATTAGCCATGTAAATATATTTTCCAAAACTCTGATCACAAAAAAGTCTTAGCGAAAACCGTGTTACCACGCAATACATGCAAAATAAAAAATGATAATAATTTGAACATTTTTCAGTTATTTTGAAAACTGATAAGTCTTTAGAAAATATCCATAGTGATGGCGAAGGTATTCTGCACGCAAAAATAGCGGCATAGAAAAAAGTAAATATATTTTCAGTAATTTGTATAACAAAACGAGGGTACGGTATGCTACCATGCAATCATAAAAATATAAGAAGAAAGATTAGAAAATGAAATTACTAAGATGGACGTAATTTGAAGTTGAAACTGTAAAAATTTGAAAGAAAGATGTCATCAAGGTGTTTTTGTTGAATTTTACATAGCGATCACCATGCTTGAATCGTCACGCGTCGTGGATTAGTAGTAAGAAACGAGTACATACCAAACGAACAACGCTTCATTTTTTTGTTAGAAACGGAGAACGATTCCCTTTGTTGTTAGAAACGAACAACGCTTTTAGAATCGTTACTCATACATATTTCTATTCCGAGCATACGATCGATTTCTGTGTAGTCAAAGTCTTGATGGTATTGTTAGAAATCAATAATGAGTTTCTCAAGCTTACGAAACGTTCGTGAGTAAGAAACGGTTACATACCAAACGAACAACGCTGGATTTTTTTGTTGGCAACGAACAACATTTCTCTTTGTTGTTAGGAACGAACAACACTTTAAGAATCTTCATGGTGTTGTCGGAAACAAAGAGCGCTTTAGTGATAAAAATTTCTCAACGTTATTGCCTATTAACAGTCTGAAATTCAGATCTTTTAGTATTTGTTTCTTCGGGCGACTTGACTTTTTTTTTCGGGCGACATAGCTAAAATTTCGGGCAACATGAGTCAGGTTTCGGGCGAGATGACTCTCGGGCGACTTGACAGTAAACCATCCTGTCAATGTTGCCTCATCAACGCATCGAAAGTGTCTTGAATCGGGAGATTGTTTAAGGCAGAAGATATTTTAATCTAGAAATATCTACTTTTCTTTCTCAAGATATTACTTTTGGTCATTTTTCATCACTTGCCGCTAGATGACAAACCAGGTTTAAGAGAAGAGGACGACAGGATTGGTTTCGTTCTGTATACAGTCGACTTTTCACTCTTTTAATTACACTTGGAAAAAAACAGAAGAACTCAGGTTCGAGTCCTCACCTGGTTATTATATTATAATATTTCCTTTCTCCCGCCTTCGTGAAAAATGGCTTAAATCTTTTTCCAAATTGGGAGAAGAGGAAAGAAATTTGTTGATGGCCAGTGCCAACAACAACAATTCGTAATTTCAAGTTTTCCACATCTTCGTGGATGAGACGAAGGCGGTAAGAACTGAAACGTGCCACACAAAGCACAGTCCAGTGTGACACTGATGTGAGTTATTATTGAAGTGACCCACGGCAACTTTTATTTTCTTAAATACTGATAATCGGGACGCCAACGAGAAGTCTGTCC